GATGGCCCAGGAGGCCCTTTCTGACTCGCTCTGTTTCTACATTTCTATGTCTTCCGCCCCCCCCCCCCGCCCCCCCAAGCCAACAGGTACTCCAGTTCTGGATTCCCAAGGAAGCAAAACCTGGAGCTAGCCAAATGCATGCTCAGGATTTCCCCCCTTTCCTTCTGATTTTCTGGGGACCAGTCAGCAGCCCCTGAGAAAGGGCACCCCAGCAGCCCTCCTCCTGCCGCCCAGCAGGTGTGGGGCTGCCTGCACACGCGACTGGAGAGCGAGCAGTCTGAACTGACATGCCAATGTGGGGCGGGGTGAGTGTGGGGGGCACTGGGGAGCTGGGTCGCCAGGCAGACCCCCCTCCTGCTCCACCGCCGAGGTGCCTCCAGTCCGTGCTGCTGTGAAGGACGGCAGGCCACCCCCTCCTTCACGCCCCGGAACGGCTGCAGAGACGGTGGGCACTGCCAGGCCTCCAGACTGGCCCCCGGAGCGCTCTGCTGCAGAGAGGAGCTTGGCCCGCAGGTGCGGCGGGTGCGGCTGGGGCGGGCACGCCGCTCGCCTTCCGCCACTGTGCCGCCGGATGCGCAGGAACAGGGCCACTTGGCAGCAGTGGCCGTTGGTGGGCAACCCCGGGAAGGACCGCCACCCTCCACCCTCCCTCGCTCGTTCCCAGTGGCACCGGCCCGGCTTGGATGCGGCACCTGGGCCGGTCGGCCGGGAGGGGGCTCTCGGGCTGCCTTGCTAGGTGGCTAGGGGCTCCTGGCCCTTGGGCCGAGCCCCCCCCCCCCGATCCTCCCAGGAAGGGAGCCCTTCGCCTTCCACTGCTCTCTGGTTAAGAGCATGCCCACCACCCTGGAGCTCAGCAGTCCCCTCTCTGGGGGGGCTGAGAAAGCCCCCCCCTGCAAGAAACCGGGACATCCAGCCAAATAGCAGCTGGGCTTCACATGCAGCCGCCGCTCGCCCTCCCGTGCCCCCTCATGCTCTGCAGCACCAAGACCCGTGCCCCACCCATTCCGGCTGTGCTCCCACCACTAGGCATTCGGGGCTTCGGTGAACGCCACCCTCGGTTGCACAGCCAGAAGTGCGGCTTCTAGATCGAGAGAGGTATTGCTACCACTCTATGCGACTCTGGTGCGCCCACAACTGGAGTATTGTGTTCAGTTTTGGGCCCCTCGTTACAGAAAGGATATAGCCAGGTTGGAGTCAGTGCAGCGTAGGGCCACAAGGTTGGTTTGCAGGGGATGGGGTATGAGGCGAGACTGAGGGAACTGGGTCTCTTCAGCCTGGAGAAGAGGAGACTCAGAGGGGATCTGTTGGCGACATACAGGTATGTGAGGGGGTGTCACACGGAGGTGGGCAGAGACCTGTTCTCCCCTGCAGAGGAAGGCAGGACGCGCTCCAACAGAGCAAAGCTCAGGGAACCCAGGCTCCGTTTGGATGCCAGGAAGCACTTCCTGACAGTCAGGATCCCGAGGGTGTGGAATGGGCTTCCACGGGGGGTCACTGAGGCCCCATCGGTGCGGGTGTTCAAGGATAGGCTGGACGTGCACATGATGGGCTTGTGGTGAGCGGAGCCGGCTGGAGCCGGGGGCCAGACCAGATGGCCCGGGAGGCCCCTTCCGGCTCGCTCTGGTTCTGTGTTTCTGTGATGAATCTGTGTAGGAATCTCTTTAATCCAGGTGGTGGAAGGGCTACCTACGTTGGCTGCCAGGCGCTGTTGCTCAACATACAGAAGTCTCCTTTCAGCTTTTACTGCAAGCAGCTCCCTGGAGTTGCCCGTCTTGACCAGCTCCTCTCTCTTGGAGAGCCCGTTGGAAGGCCTTCTGCACTACTGACCTTCCGGCTTCGAGGCAGCTTTGAGGGTCTTCCAAGCCCCTGCAAAGCACCAGCCGCTCTCCTCTGCTAAGGCACAGACATCGGAGCTCCTGGGCTGAACTGAGGGAGGGCAGCTTGTTGTGGAGCTGTCAGTGCCCCTCCCTGGACACTGAATATAAGGAATTCCTTCTTTTGTTGACCTTGGGATTGGAAAGGCTGTCCTACCTTTCTTCATTAAAGCAAAAGTCGAACTTGGCCTCAGGAGCTTTTTCCAGTGGAAATTGACTTTTTCTGCAGGGCACATCCGCCCTGCCTGCTGACGCCACTTTCTGTGGGTTCGGAGGTTCTGTGCAACACACCTGCTTTTGGAAACTGGAGACCCGTTGCGAAACGGCTGCGCTTGCACGCCGTGGCAGCCCCTCCTCAGCCCTCCTTACTCACGAGGGGCACCGCCAGGGTGTCCCTTCTGCGTTCAGGCTGAGGGGCGGGAGCAGCTGCCTGGACGGACGGCTGGGCTGGGCTATAAAGCCGGCGGGACGGGTCGGGCGGACACCCAGCCGTGCCACACCATCAAGTCGGGTGGCCGCGTCGCGCTCCTGGTGGGGCCGCTTGTCCTCTGCCGCGATGGCATCCGGTGAGTCAGCCCCGCGGGGCCTGCCTTGGAGCACCCCTGGACAGGCTGATCAGCCCCGTGGCTGCTTGGGGTGCAGATTCGGGGGAGGGGGTCTCCCTTGTCCTCCACCAGGAGCAGAATCCCATATAGCCCGGAGTCCGTTGAGGCGGGCCAGGGGAGCAGCTGCCGGCAAGAGCTGCAGAGGCTTTGGGGTGGGGTGGGACCGGGAGAGAGGCTGGGAGCCACAAACTGCAGGCCGCCCGCACTGGGACGCCCCCCCCCCGCGTTTCTGCTCCACAGAGTGGGCGACCTGAGCCCCCGCAGCCCCTCCCGCGCTGTGCCCGCCCCCTCCCCCACAATAAACGCCCCGCATGCGTGCGTGCGTGCATGCATCCCGAGGGCCTGGCGGGGCTCGTGCTGGGGGAGCGCCCCCCCCCGCGAGATCAGGCTGCCTTGGCCACGTCCACGCGCAGCTCGGCCGTCTCCTGCAAGCACTGCAGCATCACGGCGAATCTGGATGGAGCAGAACTGCAGAAAGGGGCCACTGAAGGAGGGAGGGGCTGGGACAGCTGTTCAAGCAGGCGGTCCAGCACCGGGGCTGGTGACTTGCACGGACGGCCAGTGGGGAGAAACGACGGAGGTGCAGGAAGTGCGCGCTGGGGAGACGGGGCGGGAGGAGAGCTCCTGAGCAGCCGAGGAAGGACCTCGATGCGGCGCCCACCAAATATACGGAGCCCGTGCAGCTCCTGGTCTGCCCAACTGGCTGGCCACTACTGGGAGCCCGGGGAGAAGCCCATGCCTGGCTGCAGGTCCAGGCTGTTCTTGGGACGCGTTTGAGCTCAAGAGTGGGGGTGCCCAGAGGGGGTCCGGCAAGGATCCCTCTCCCTTGCCCAGTTGCTGCTGCAGTCCCAGGGGGCAGAAAGAGGGACGGTGGTCGGCAGCCTCGGGATGGGTGGGGGGTCCTCGTGGCGTGTGCCTTCCCCAGAGGAGGACTGCCACTCGGCACCAAGGCCACCCCTTCCTCATTCGCTCTTTCGCACCGGAGCTGCTTGGACACAGAGTGGGCTGACCAGGCGGGGCCGAGCTCTAGAGCCGCCTGCGAGGGAGCCGGGTGGGCTCCTGGGCCTCGGACAGAGCAGCCCCCTGCTCTGGCCCTCCCACGGCCCTCCCTGGCCTCATCCAGGGTCTACTGCTGCTCCGGCCTTTCCCGGAACCGCCCCTCCGTGCTGGGGCTGGGGAAGCTGCCCGCGCCCCGTGCCGAACGCTCCCAGTCCAGGCAGGGGGGGCTCCAGTGAGGCTGCGGCTGCCCACCTGTCCCTGCACCCCCAGCGGGGCCTCCCTTGCAACCTGGGGTCTCCGGTGGCTCCCTCCCCCCGCTGGAAGACGCAGCTGCAGGGGGCAGAAAAGGTCTCCCAAGAAGGACACTCCGCAGGATGCGATGAACTGAAGCCTTTATTGTGTGGGGGGGCAGCCCAGCAGGGGGGTTTGCACGGGCGGAGAAGGCGATGGGGGTCCCGCTGGCCGCCGTCTGGGGAGGGGCCATCGCCCTGGCCCTGCGGAGCTCCTGCTGCAAGGAGAAGAGGGGGCGTGTGAGGAGGAGGGTCCTGCCCAGAGCAGAGGGGCCCTTTCTCCTCCGCTTGCCTGGCCGGGCTGCTCACCTCCTGGGCCTCGCAGCTGGTGCCCGGGCAGCGGCCCTCAGAAGCGTGCCCGTGTCCCGGGAGGACTGGGACCGCTCCCCACCCCTGGGGGGCGGCTGCTCTGTCCCCCGCAGCCAGGGCTGCTCAGCCCGGTCCAGACATCCCGGAGTGCCGGACATGGAGTGACCGGCTCGAGTTGCAGGAAGCCAGCCTCTGGCTGGACATCGGGAAAGGGCCTGACTGTTGGAGCGGAAGGACAGTGGGACCCGTGATCCAGGGAGGGGCGGGGCGGGGCTCCCCCCCCCGGGGGCCTCGGGATGCGGCTGACGGCCCCCCGAGAGGGACGGTGCCATGTGGTGCCTGCACTGAGCAGGGGGGCACCCTGAGGGCCCCCCTGCCATCCCTTGCTTCGCCCTGCCCTGTCCCACTCCCGCTCGGCTGCCCCGGAGGCGACCGAGCAGGCGACCGGACACGGAGGCCTCTTGTGTGCCGCCGCTCCCACTGCAGAGACAGACGGACAGCAGGGACGGCGCTTCGTGGCTCCGCGTGGAACGGCCCCAGCCCCTGTCGGAGGCCCCCCCCCCGGCCTGTGGCGCCCTCGGGACCGAAGCCTCTATGCCCCCACCAACCCTTCCCCTGGGAGGCAGGCCTGCCCCCCGCTGCTCCCGACCAGCTGGCACTGCCGAGTTCTGCCCCCCCCACCCCCGCAGAACCCCTTCCCCTCCAGCCCTTGGGCCTCTTGGGTGCCTGGCACAGATCCGGAGCCTGGGGGACGCATCCCAGGGCAGGGGGCTTGTGCGGAGAACGAGGGGAGGCAGAGGCTGGCTCGGCTCCACGGCCCTCCTGGCCTCGCCGGCCCAGCGTGTCCCAGCACAGGGGACTGGGGACGGGGCGCACCCCATCGCGTGACGCGGGTAGCCAAGACCCCCGCCGCCAGCCTCACCTCAGATGGGGGAGAGGCAGAGCCGGCGGCATCTGTAGGGGCAGCACTTCTGGTCCTTCGGGCAGTCGGAGTCGGCCTTGCACGCCTCGCCACAGAGCTTGGAGTCGTACGGGGGAGACTTGGGGCAGAGTCCGGGCTTCCCATCTGCGGCACAAACAGGGCCGGGGCTGAGCGGAGTCCCGGGAGCCGCGGGGCAGGGCAGGGGCTGCGGGCCAGGCGGATCCCCACCCGGCAGGCGCCGGCAGCCGAGGCCGCCCAGCGTCGGCTCCGGGGAGGGTCCGGCTCAGCGCAAAGGACCCCCGGCCAGTCCCCAGGGAGGGCCAGCAAAAGCCACCAAGGACGCGCCTGGGGGGAGGCACTCCTCTTCCCCGAGGCGCTCCTGCCAGGCATTTCCCTCTGGGAATGGCGGGACCCGCTTCCCCGTGGCTGCCGGGCCCACTCCCCCCGGCCCCCCGGCCCCTCCCACTCACCCACACAGGTCTTCTGGCACTGCTCCAGGGTCTTGAAGTTGTTGCCGTTCCCCTTGCAGCCCCCGTAGATGAACTTCTGGCACCGGTTGGTGGCGCGGTTGTAGTAATAGCGCACGATGTACGCCTTGCAGTGTCCGGGGTCCACAGGCAGGTCGCAGATGTCTGGGCGGAAGGACTCGCAGGTTCGCCAGTGCGGGCTGCCCGGCCCCCCCCGGAGTGGGAGCCCCCCACCCCACCGAAGCTGCCGCCCGAGTGTGGCCGCGGCAGCATCCCTCTTTCCCAGGTCCCAGTGGCGGATCGCTAGTGGCGACTGGAAGCGCCCCCTCCCCATCCTGTACCTGCTCGGCCGCAGACCCCTCCCCAGCCAGGCCCAGGGCCCGTGAGGACCCCTCCACACAACGACCCCCGCTGCACCCCTTCTGCTTCCCGCAAGCCCAGCACGGCCCAGCTCTGGGGCCCCGGGGAGCTCCAGGGGAAGACCCTGCCCCCCTCCGATCCTGGGGCACGCTCCGTGTCTTGCGCGGAGGGAGCCTGGCGGAGAGGTGAGGGGATGCAGAGGCGGGTGGTGCAGAAGGAAGGGCGGACCGTGCAGAAGCCGCGGCGGAGGGTGGGGAGGGGCTGCGCCGGCAATGCTTCCGAAGGCTTGCCGTGCCTCGACCCCCAGCCTCCCCCCGGGGAACCGGGCGCTGGTTGTATGGGGAACGGCTGCCGCGAGGCACCTACGGGCCCTGAGGGAGCAGTTCCCGCAGCCCCCCACCCCCCAGTTAGCCCCAGCGAGGGAAGCTGGCTCCGCAGCCCCAGAGTTGGCGCCCCCTGGCCGGAAGGGCATCGGGCTGCGTCGGCCCGGCCGGTCCCGGGAGCGTCTCAGCGGAGCGAAGATGCCCCTAAGGTCCGGCCCCTGCCCAGCGCCTCCAGCGCATCACTGCCAGTGCCGCAGCCCCCCAGCCTCATCCCCGAGGGGGCCTTCTGGCCGGCAGCCCACCTGGACCAGCGGGCCCAAGCCAGCCGATGCCGGGATCGCCAGGGGGTGGGGCTGAGCCCTCCTTCCGTGCCCCCACCTCGGTTGCTTCGGCCAAGGCGGGCACAGGCTTTCCCTCCCACGGCGGAGCAGGTGGGGCGAGTGGCCAGGAGCTCCCAGAGCTTAGCCGAGGAACCCAGCAGAGGACTGTGCCACGCTCTGGCCGGCTACCCCCCTGCCTTTCCTTCCCAGGGCCGGGTCGCTCCAAGAACCCTCGCCATGACCGGGTGGGAGCCCAGCCTGCTTTCCCACTGGGGAGGCTGCCAGTGGCACATGGGTCACTCAGCAAGCGCTGCCCCCGGCGCACTGACCCACGCCCCCCCCCCTCGATCCAGCAGCCTGAGCCACGTGGCTCGCCCTGGCCTTCTGCGCGGAGCCCCAAGCACGGCCACCTGGAGCAAGAGGCGCTGCCGCCGGCCTCGGGAGCGGCATCCTGTCCCCACAAGGGTTGGGGCAGCACCTGGGGACCCAGGCCGAGGCCGCCTCTCTGTTTCTACAGCTTGGGAATGTTTCCGGGAAGGCAGGGCTGTCCACGTGAGACGCGTGGCTTTTCATGGAGGGCAGGAGCAGGAAGACAGCAGCTACCCCCCCCCCGGAGCATAAAGACCTCCCCCCAGTGGCTCTCCGGCGTGCAGGGAGGGCTGCCGTGGGGAAGCCGGAGAGCAGAGGGGCGCCCTTACCTGGCGGAGGGATGCCGGAGACGAGCGCCAGCTCAGCGCAGAGGGCGAGCAGCCCCGCGAGGAGGAGGAGGGCACCCGACTGCATGCTGAGGCCGGCCGGTGCAGGGTCTGCTGGCCCGCTGCAGCGGGGCCCCTCTTTATATCCCCGCGAAAGGCTCCGCGGGGATTTTCAGAGGCCGTGGGTGAAGGAAGCGCGATGGGGAAAGAGCGGGCGGTGTCGCAACGGAGCCGCGGAGGAGCGCTGCAGGCCAAGCGGCACGGCGCTTGGCACTGGACTGCATTCCGGCCAGGTGCGCAGCCCAAAGCCAAAGTGGGGGGGGGGGGCAGGATACACAAGGTGCTAACACGTATTTTCGTACAGGGAAGTTCTCTCCGTGTGGGGCGGCCAGAGGAAAATCCCCCATTTGAAGGTGTCCCCTGGTTGAAAAGCGTTTTCACGGACTCCAGGTTAAGGATCTCTGAATGATGGAAACCCGGATGGGGCCCAGATGGGGCAGCTGGTGAAACGGGCAGCCATGCAGGACACCTTGTCCGGATCTTCCACTGCTAAGGTGCAATTCTATTTAAATGATACGAAAATAAAATATCAGTGAGGACACGCAACTGTTACGCAGGTCGCTGGCCTCTCTTGCAGTGGTGCCCGTCCAGTTTTCCTAGATAACGCGGAAGGAACCACTCTGGCTGAGCCCTCCTTCCCCATCCGTGACGGGGCTGGTGCCCCCACAAGCGCCCTCCATCCGGGACACACAGATCCACTACAGGACCCACCAGAGGCTGCGCCCTCGGGGCCGAGCCCAGCAGCCCCCCTTCGGCCTCCATTCTCCCCCTTGACCCAGAGAGCATCCCTGAAGCCCAGATGCAACCAAGGAAGTAAACTCGTTCCAGCAAGATCGTTCTGAGAAGGGTAAGAGCGCGATCACTGGAACTCGGGGAATGCAGGTGAATTTCCCCAAACCCGAATTTCGCTGCAATCGGAGAGAGCAAGCTGGTTCTGTCAAGACAGTGCTGCGGGCACCAATTGGAGCTTGAGGAATGAGCGTTGAAAGCTGTGAGAATTGCAGCTCGGGCCCCTCTCCGCCGCCGTCCGTCCGTCCTGCAGGCTCGGCTGCCCCTCGCCAGCCCCAGATCCGTTCTTCCCCGTGAGACGAGGGACCCATCCGGATGAGGCCGGGTGGAACTGACCCCACAGGAAAGGAAGCGACTGGGGGGGGTGTTCCCTCTTCCCTGGCGGGGGCACGCAGAGGGCGCCTGGCCAAGAAAACCCCTGTGACCCGGCTGATCAGGAAGCCCGTCCAGCCCAGGCATCCCGTCCAGCCCAGGCATCCCGTCCTTGGCCACGGGGAGCGCCTCTCCGTTCCGGGGACTGGGGTGAGGCTGGTCACTGGGGCCTGTTTCAGTAGGGGTTCGGCCAGAACGTGGGGCAGAGAACCCCCGGGGCGCCTTGGCCAGGGCCCTGCGCTGGCCACTGGGGTGGGGAGGGCAGCCGCGCCGGCACCTTCTCTCCCCAGCGGCTCGTGGCGCCCTCCCCCGTGGCATCCTGCTGGAGTGGCTGGCAGGGCCGGGCTGGGCCGGGCTGGGGGCCCGGAAGGCAGGGGCTCAGCGCCGCCGATCAGGTCCTGCACGGCCATCCGGCGGCGACCCTGCGGCAGCTCTGCGGCGCCCTGCAGGGCCCGGGTCCCCCGCGCGGCCCGTGTGCAACTTCGGGGAGGATTCTCGGGGGCGCTGGCGCGACACGCCGTGGCAGCGTCGCCGCTCTGCTGCACTCGACCTCAAAGGAGCAGTCGGCCCCCGTGGGCTCCGACGCCATGACACAGGGCGAAGGGCAAGCTGGGTTTCAGCCCATGCGGGGGGCCACCCCGCTCCGCTCCGCTCGGGTCTCCTGCCCTGGAGAGGTCGGGCTGCCGCTTGGGAGTGTGCCGAGACCGGTGCGCCTCTGAATCCTCGGGCGGCAATGCGGGAGATGGGCCCCCGGCTCAGTCCCAGGGAGCGCGCCTGATCTGCCTGCTCCTCGCCCAGTCCGGCCGTGCTTGCTTGAGCATGCCCCCTGCGCCGGGGAGGCCTGCCGCACCGCCCTCGGATCGAGGCGCCCCCTGGAGAGCCTCCCTTGGTGCCGGAGGCGCCGGCCTCCTCATCGCACGGCTGCCCCACCGAGCGCTCTGCAGCTGCCCCCGTGCATGTGGGGATGCCCACTGCCCCCAAGGCTTCTTCTGTCGATCGGTAACTGATGCACTAACGCCCGTCAGGAATCAACCATCAGGGAGCAGCGGGAGGCCCAGAGTCTTCAACCTGTTCGCCACTGATCCGGAGCCAGGGTGGAACCTGAGCTGGGTCACTGGGGGCATCCTGGGAAGAGAAAGGCGGACAGCTTCCCCACCGCCTGGTTGGCATCTCGCTTCCCTGGAGGAACGAGACGGGCCTGCGCAGGGCGCCTGCCCGTAGCTGTGCTCCAGCCTGACCGCGGGGTCTCAGCAGGAAGGGTCAGGGGGCATCACTGCCCTTGACCAGCCGCTGCCTCGGGGCTTAGGGCAGCTGGGCCGGGCCTGGGAGCGCCGCAGGGAGAGGGAGCACTGGCGCAAGGTGCTTGGGTTCAGGGGCGTGTCCTTGGGGCCATGCCCGTGTCCCAGGTGCACCGCTCTCCCCTTACGCACTGTTTCCCCGTCCGGCTGGAGGCTCGCCAGCTGAGACGCGCCAGCACCCAGGCAATCTCCCTTCCGGGACTGTTGCCCAGCCACCAGAGCGCCAGGACCCCATCTGGGGCGCTCCGCCAAGTGTCCGGGCCATGGCGCGCTGCAGCTCTGGCAGAGTGGCGGGCACAGCACAACAGGCAACCAGGGAGCGCTTCGCCGCTCAGGGGAGCAAAGCGAGGGCAGGCCTCGACCCGGTCCCGTTGGGTGTGGGCTGGCGCTCTCCTCCCAGGCTGCCTGTGGTTAAGGCAAGGACCGTATGAGCCTTCGGCTGCCAGGCAGCCTCAAGCTCGGACGCGCCTTTGTCCAGCTCTTTGCTTTGCAGAAAGCGGTAAGGCAGGGGGCTCACTGGCTCCCGGTTCACTTAATCGTTATATTAATGGCTGGACCCTAACCCTGGGGAGTTGGTGGGGAGCTCTCACATCCGCTGGCCTCCATTTTTGAGGCCTCGTGGAGAACGGGTGAGGTTCCAGAGGACGGGAGGGTGGCGTCAGTGGTCCCAATTTTCAAAAAAGGGTAGTAGAAGGGACATGGGGAATTACAGACCGGTTAGCCTTACGTCCATTGTAGGAAAAACAATGGAAAGGCCCATAATAGAGAGAGATCTAGCGATGCTAGATAGGGAAGGGAGGCTGGCGGCCACACAACACAGCTTCCGCAAAAACAGGTCCTGCCAGACAAACCTTGTGGGATTCTATGACAAGGTTTCGCGATGGCTAGATGGAGGGGATGCAGTGGATGTGGTATACCTGGATTTCAGCAAGGCCTTTGACAAAGTGCCCCATGATATCCTGGTGGAGAAACTGAGGAGTTTTGGGATACACCAAAGCACTGTCCGGTGGATTAGGGCATGGTTGACTGACCGAAAGCAGAGGGTAACCATTAGTGGGGAATCATCGGGATGGCGACCAGTGACAAGCGGGGTCGATCCTGTTTAATCTTTTCATCAATGACATGGAAGAAGGGGTGACCAGTCTGCTGATTAAATTTGCAGATGATACTAAAACTGGGGCAGTGGCCACAACTGAGGAGCAGGTACTCTGCATCCAGAAGGATCTGGACAGACTATGGAAGTGAGCAGGAGTTCAATGTGGATAAGTGCAAGGTCTTGCACTTGGGGCACAGGAAGGGGTGTTACAGAAAGGATATAGCCAGGTTGGAGTCAGTGCAGCGAAAGGCCACAAGGTTGGTGGCCGGTTTGCAGGGAATGCGGTATGAGGCGAGACTGAGAGAACTGGGTCTCTTCAGCCTGGAGAAGAGGAGACTCAGGGGGGCTCTGTTGGTGACATACAGGTATGTGAGGGGGTGTCACACAGAGGTGGGTAGAGACCTGTTCTCCCCTGCAGAGGAAGGCAGGACGTGCTCCAACAGAGCCAAGCTCAGGGAACCCAGGTTCAATTTGGGTGTCAGGAAGTGCTTCCTGACAGTCAGGACCCCCAGGGTGTGGAATGGGCTTCCCCGGGAAGTGGTTGAGGCCCCATCGGTGTGGGTGTCCAAGGACAGGCCGGACATGCACATGGTGGGCGTGTTGTGAGCAGAGCTGGCTGAAGCCGGGGGTCAGACTAGATGGCCTGGGAGACTCCTTTGGACTCGGTCTGTTTCTATGTTTCTAGCTGACCAACAATTTCTTTCTCCTCTGTTCTTATAAACCTCTGTCTCATGATCTTTAGCAGAGTATTGCAGCTTTGAGGACCTAATTATACATTATAATAGGTTGCAATTATCATTGCAATAATTATAATTGGTGCAGTTCTCCAGGTCTTAATGTCAGCAGAGCTACTCTTGGTGTGTTAATGGAAATCCGATAGAACAGGTTACTCAATTTAAATATATTGGGGTTTATGTTTGACCTAATACACTTTGGGCAACGTATGCCAGAAAGGCCATGTTTCTGTTGGCAGAATGGATTTTAATATCTCATGCGCAGGTGCCAAGTCCTTTTCTCGGTCGATTAAGAGTGAAAATTAGTAGTTTCTAAAATGCCATACCGACAGACCTGTCAAGAAACCCTGTTTCCTGAGCATTATGTGATGCTGCTCAGCGCCAAACTGGCTGCCTGGGCAGGATCCTCGCAGTCGCCCTTCCCCCTGCACGGGCTCCCCCAGTCCCTTTTCCCTCCTCTGAAACAGGCTCTTGCTGACCTCCTCTCCGAAACAGCCAGTCCTGCCCCACGGAGCCGCTGAGCCCCGACGTGTCCCCACTATGAGCCCCGACTCCCGGAGCAGCAGGTCCCTGCGCAGATCAGCCGTGTGCCTGCGCCTGAGCCGTCCCGCCTTGAGGGAGCGTCGCTGAGCTGGAAGTGGTGCGGGGAAGGGCAGCCGGAATGGAGCAGGGCCGAGAGCCTTTCCCGCGAAGGGAGGCTGCCTCGGACTTTGGAAGACACGATTCGAAGGCTGGCTGC